AAAAAAATAAATGCATTTTTCTATTGAATGTCTTTTGTAGTGCGATACCTCGGAGCTGGTGATAAGACATGAAGTCCTAGTGGAAATTGGTACTTATGTTCTAGATATTAGACAAGTATGTATTAAAAATATTTTGTTATTAAATACAAAAACCTTTTTATATCACAGAGGAAATTATTACCTTGCATTTCCTATCCTACAACTTGATTTTTTATCTTCTGTATACTGACTAGCTGTCACCCGATTTCGTCAGCGCATAGCCAATGTGTTCTTCCAGACTATTTTCTACATTTGCACCAAATTCCATTAAGATCTGTTTACCTGTTCCGTAGATATCTTCTCCATCCATCCATCTAAACTTTCGTTATTATAATATTAGTAATATTTTAAGTTAATTTACAATAATTACTTCCATTACCTTTAGATTCGACACAAAACAACCCCTTAAAAAACATTCCTATAAAATTAAACAAGGAACAAATTCAAACAGAACCTCTTTAGATCGATGCCCTTCTTTCTTAACAAAAAAACACAATAAAGTAAAACCACACCATCACTGTTGGGTTAAAAATACTTAGCACGTTTTCCACCAGCTATAAATCACGCAGAATGCCCGATGATTTGTGGCCTTGCGAGTTTAACACTAAACTGCCGTCTAACGGACGCTTCTATTTTATTTAACTTTTTAACATTATTGCTACCCCGACCCTGGTCTATTTAAAGACACGTATCATTAATCGTGCTCTTGCTATTTTTGTCACAAACCTATTCCAGTTGGTAGTTCAAAAATGGATAAAAGAAGTTGGAGTACGATTATTTATCGAGAAGTAGAAGTTTGAAAACCAAACAGCAATTAACCCTTATTGTAGCAAGATTTCTATTTTGAAGGAAAGCAAAAAATAAAGTTAAAAAAAAACTAAGTTAAAAATTATTTTATAGTGATCGTATATTTTTATTTATTTGTATGTATGGTATACTATACAAAGTGAACATAAGGGTTAAAGTACATAATTTGAAAAGCAAACTCTACCGACTCTATAACCCTCAGGAAAGTAATAGTAATCAAATGAGTAACCTAACCTAACTTGTTAAATTTGTCGTCCGCGACACCGTCCACGCTGAGTTTAAAAAAAAACTAAATAAGTAGCCTATATGCTCTTAAAGACTATGTTCTATATGCATGCCGAATTTCATCGAGATCCGCCGTTTCGGAGATACCTTGAAACAAACATCCATCCATCTAAATATTCGCATTTATAATATTAGTAAGATTAATCTTAGAAAAATCCACAGCTTCCTAATAATAATTATATACCTTAGTAATATGATAATATGGAGAACTGATCGCCAACCTTCGCTAGTCGGAGAGGCACCTCAAGAAGAAGAAGAAGAAGTAATATTACAAAACATAAGCCTTAAATGATTCTTTTTTAATTTATGCACACAAGTTGATGCGTGTGGGTGTGAATGTGTGTGTTTCAAGTTATATAATCCTCTTTCCCTTCCCACCCTTTTCCTATAAGGAAAGGATGGGAAGTGGAAATAGACTTTCCGGATGAGAGGATGCATGGAAAGGGAAAATATTTAATTTCTGTGCATCCTCTCCTCCGTCGATTAAAGGTAGGCAACGCATATGCAATTGCGTATGTCTATGGGCTACGGTCAATTTGCTATTTCAGCGATTTCAGGTGGCCGTTTGCTTGTTTGCCACATTATGATAAAAAAAAATTAGGTTATAGGGTTACTATTCTAATGACTGTAAACTTTTATTTCTTTAAGTCAACACTGGATAACTTAAGCAAGAACAATCCTCCAAAAAGTTTGCAACAACCGCAAAAAGGTCGTTATTAAGTTGCTCTAATGTGTTAGTCATTAACACTTAGTTTCCGGTAATGTTTATGACTTAAGTTACTAACGCGCCAAAACTTTTTCTATATATTTCGAAACTGTAATGATGAACATCACGAATACATCGAAATGAGAATTGGAAACATGAATTACTTTTGAAAAGAAAACTAAACAAAACACATACGATACTCAGAAACATTTAATGGCCACTAAGTGAAACTTTAAGTAACCGTGAGTGGCTTACTTTAAAAGAGTTGACTTGTAATTTAAAGGTTTTGGTTTCGATTCCTCTATATACTAATGCGTTTTTCGATTTTGTCGAAGTCGTTACGATACTACGAATACTTTTAAGCAAATTTTCGTGCTAGGCCCTCTGTCTAGCCGACATCTACAAAGGTCAATGATTTAAATCAAAAACGTGAAAGTTAGAGGAAAATAAAACATACATAAACACAGCGGGAGAGACATTTTTCATATCAACGACATTTTGGGATATTAAAAGTAAAATATTTTAACTTTATTACGTTCTTTAAATATTTATAATAACATAGGTTTTTTTATAGCAGAAGGGGACAAACGAGCAGCGGGAACACCGAGGTTGTCAACGACGCCCATGGACATCAATACCAGAGGAACCACAGATGCGTTGCCGGCCTTTGAGATGGTGATACGTTCTCTTCTTGAAGGACCCCAAGTCGTAACTGTTTGGTAATACCGCCGAGGACAGGAGTACATTAGGTTTAAATCTAGATTTTGTAAAATTATTTTATATCTTGGTAAAATAAGACTATCTAATATCTAGTCATGTTTTTACAAACTTCTTTAAGATACAGTCGGAAAGAAAACTCAGCTTGAAGACTGAACTCAAAACAAATCAATACGCAAATTTAGTGCATTTTTAATTCCACAGATGTCGTTAAAACATAATAAAATAAACGTAATTACTTCTTTTTTTATTTTACTTTTTACTACGGCACTTAAAGTTCTAATAAACTCTATATTAGATTATTTCAAAGCTTCCGAAAAGCTGTAGAACCAATTAATTAATTTGCGTCGGATTAAATTAACATTTAAATGTAATTAAATTAATAAAATTATCATATTAGTTACGGTTTGGCTTGTTAAATATTTTCTAAAGATTATCGTATTCAAAATTGGTTTATAATTCAATCTTAATTATATAATAAGTTAATTTTCTAAAACTTTAGAAATTAATACATAATTAACAAAATTGGATTGTCTGTATTTTTTGACATTATTAGTTAGAATCTGTTAGTAACGATTACACCACTAGATGGCGCTGTTCGATAACGAAACGCGATATGGTTTGGTGTAACTATTTTGAATATACATTGTATTAATTTAAGATTTTTTGAGTTGTTCCATTTATTGTGAATTGTTCTTGTGAGTTGTGAGTAATAAATCTATATCAGTTAGTGAGTGTCTAGTGCTTTCCCCTACAGAATCATTTGGCGCGAATGGCGCGCTTTACCAAGTCAAGTGTCGAATGTTTAGTGAGGGGACATAAACGTCGACATTTAGTAAGGCTAGTGTTGCGCCAGTACACCGGCAGTGTCGGATTTTCTTCCTAACAGTATGTACCGAAGAAACAAATACATTCGTGTACGTAATCTAAATTACCTATAACCAAAATCGTATTTTTATTTTTTTGTGTTTCAGTAGAGACGAAGTCGCGGACGACCGCTAGTTAATAACATAAGTTGTAATTTTATTCAAACTCATTCTAGCATTTAATAATGAGGTAATGAAAATGAATACGTTTTAATAAATTGTTATATAGATTACTAGCTGTCGCCCACGACTCCGTCCGAAATTCATAAAAACTTAATTAGTATCCTATGTGTTCTTCCAGACTATGTTCTACATCATCAAGATGCAGCCGTTCTGGATATACCTTCTAACAAACATACTGTGAGGAAGAAAATCCGGAAATGTGCCAGTGTATTAACCCAACATTAGCTTTACTAAAATGTCGACGTTGATGTCCCCTCACTATTCATTCTGACACTGGACTTTGTAACGAAAGCACGTCATTCGCGTCAAAGCATTGTAATTAATAGTGTCTAAAAGTAAATCCAAGTAAACATTCGCATTTATAATATTAGTAAGATAACTATGGAGCCGCTCGGTAAATATTTCCATTTATAACCATAAGTTTTAAACTTTTTTTATATCATAAGGTGGTAAACGAGCGAGCGGCCACCTGAAATCGCTGATATAGCGAAGTGACCGTTGCCCATAGACATACGCAATTGCATATGCGTTGCCTACCTTTAATCGACGGAGGAGAGGATGCACTGAAAGAAAATATATTCCCTTTCCACGCATCCTCTCATCTAGAAAGTCCACTCCCACTTCCCATCCTTTCCTTATAAGAAAAAGGTGGGAAGGGAAAGAGGACTAAATTAGGCCTCCGGGACGCAGACTCATCAGACTGTACGCGAATAGCTTTCACTTCACGCGTATCTTCTGTGTGGTCGTGGTATTTCACCGGGCGAGCCTGGAGAATTGATGCGATGTTAAAGCGAGCACTAGCACTGTTAAAGAACTTTTATTGTCGCACATAAATGAGATTACAATGATTATACGGCAGTGGAAACCGACAATAATAATAACAAAACATTGTCCTGTAGGCTTGTTAATCAACGTTAACATACAACTTGTGAATGCTCGGTTCGCAATATATTTTTATTCTCTGACTAAAGCCATACATTAGCTTTAATTACTCGATATACAGACAAAGGGATATTGAAACAATAGAGTAATTAGTATAATAAATAAAGGAATTTATTTTGAAAATAATTATGTAAAAATTATCTTTAATAAGGATAAATAGGATGAGATAAATCGATTAAAATCCTCCAAAATTTTAAGGTCATTTTTTTTTGAATAAACTGTGTACAATGTGATAAACAAAAGAATACATCTTAATCTACTTCTTATTAATATTATAAATGCGAATGTTCAGATGGATGGATGTCTGTTTGAAGGTATGTCCATAACGGCTGCATGGATCTCGATAAAATTTGACATATGTAGAACATAGTTTGGTAGAAAACACAAGCTACTAAGTCATTTTCAATTCCGCACGGACGGAGTAGCGGGCGACAGCTAATATTTTATAATCTTACCCCAGCTAGGAATGAAACTTATCTGAAACAAAAATACTTATTTAAATACAAATGTAAAGACATATTAACTTTAAACAAAACGTTTATAATATAAAAATTATATAAAATTCTTTTACTTAAATAGGTTAACTCATAATGATAATATTTCTTAGTTAAATTTAAAAATGCACATGTTTTCCTTGTTAAAAAAATTATGTCGTTTTATACATAACTCTGAGTATATAAGGTTTTATTATTGTCCGCAATGTTAGCGCCATCTGGTGGGCCGTCTCGTAAAATACCCAATTTGTCAGTGACAACATAAAAACGCATAATTCGTGACACGGCACTGTGAGGTCAAAAGCGAATCACACGGAATACATTTTTCGTAAGGTAATTTTAAGAGACCAATATGTGTTTTAAATATAAACGTTCTATTTTTGTTGCATCTTTCGTCATTGATTTCAAGGTCATCTCAAGTTTGATATGTTTTATTAATTACTTAGTTTTATGTTTTTCAATGGTGTGTTGTAATATTAGCAACGATTAAATCTTATTTTATTATTATTTTTTTATAAGAGAAGGAGGCAAACGAGCGGCGGGAACACCGGGGTGATCAACGACACCCATGGACATCTGCAACACCAGAGGAACTGCAGATGCGTTGCCGACCTTTAAGGAAATGGTATGCTCGCTTCTTGAAGGTCCCTAAGTCGTATTGGTTTGGAAATACCGCCGAGGACAGACCGTTCCTCAACGGGGACAACTTTTAACAAACATCAATCCATGCATCCAAACATTCGTTTTAATAATATCAGTAAGTTAACCTTTTCTGAGCCGTGGTTATAAGTGATCAAGTTGCCCTAATGATCCGACCTTCGTTAAATAACACTTTAAAACATAACCTTTAACAATTATATTCACAAAATGTATTTATTTTACGAGTAATATAATTGTGCTATAAGAACCATATAGTGTGGTAACACTGTTGATGTAACGTTTGCTTCCCGCTGCGTTTAAATACATCGATTTTGTTGTAATCGATAATTTACAATCGTAAATTTTGTATCGATTTAAATTATTACGTAACCCAAATACCCTTGTACGGTTTAAAGGACAAATATTTACAAATATATTCAAAGAAAGATTTTTATAAGAGTAATCGCGTACATGAATTCGCTAAAAGAGCGAAACTCCCGCTGCCTAAAGACATCCGCAATTGAAGATGCGTTACCACCCTCTAATCAACAGAACTAGGGATGCAACGAAGATATTTCCTCTTCCTATTAATCCCTTGCTTAACCCTATCCACCTTCCCTTTTTATTCCTAACTAGCTGTCGCCCGCGACACCGTCTGCGCGGAGTTAAAAAACTTAACTAGTAGCCAGTTAGTTTAAAAAATTAAAAATTATTGGCAATTTTTTTTTATTTAATCTTTATCGATACTATCCCATACCTAAAACAAGTAACGCACATTCCACTTTCATTCCTCATGTATCATAAATTTATGAATAATGTATGAACGTTAGTATATTAATAAATAAAGTTTTTATTTAGTAGCAACTCATAATTAATTGATGGCAATTATTAACGAATAAATTAATAAAACATGCCAATAAGCACTTAATATGTTAAAATATTTGCTAACATGCGTACTATACGAACATCGTATTTAAAATGGGCAAAGTATTAAACGACACATTTGAGAAATTCTTTCTCTACAATTTTGAAAGTAAGGGTATATTAGTTAAGTCATTTAAAAGTAAGTTATCTAGCACTTGTTTGTACATAAGCTGTCGCTCGCGACTCCGTCTGCGCAGAAAGAAAAACGAAATATTTCCTATGCGTTCTTCCAGACTATATTCTACATCTATGATAAATTTCATCAAGAGCCGTTCCGGAGATTCCAACATCCATGCATCCATCCATCAAGACTATCACATTTATGATATTACTAGCTGTCGCCCGCGACTACGTCGGCGCGGAATTAAAAATAACTTTAGTCAATATGTACTTCCAGACTATGTTCTACATGTGTGATAAATTTAATCAAAATCCGTTGAGCCGTTCCAGTGATACCTTCAAACAAACATCCAAACATCTAAACTTTCACATTTATAATGTTAGTAAGATTGTGTAACGGTGAAGGAAAACATCGTGATGCTGCACACATATCTAAAAAGAAATTCAAAGATATGTATGAAGTCAACCCGCGCTTGGCCTACGTTCGCTATGGTCTAGTCATCTTTCAGACGGGGCCGCGGACGAGAGAGAAAAGCGTGTCCGTGGTACCGTCCCGATGCGTTGGAGGAACAGAGAGGTTTAGTGGGTATGCCTCCGCTATGGAGGAGAATCCCACATAACTACCGCGTCCCCCCCGGGGCGCGGAGTATGCATAAAGCATTCCTCTCTGGACAAAAAATGGTCTAGTCATCCATAACTTAGTGTAGGCTCCACACAGAAGACAGGCGTGATGTGGAAGCAACTCCGCGTTTCGTCTGATGAGTGTGCGTCCCGGAGGCCTAATTTAGTCCTCTTTCCCTTTCCACCTTTTTTCTTATAAGGAAAGGATGGGAAGTGGAAGTGAACTCTCTGGAAAGGGAAAATATTTTCTTTCTGTGCATCCTCTCCTCCGACGATTAAAGATAGACACAGCATATGCAATTACGTATGTCTATGTGCAACGGTAACTTCGCTTTTTCAGCGATTTCGGGTGGCCGCTCGCTCGTTTGCCACCTTATGTTATAAAAAATATATATTCCTCAAACGTTATTCGAGTTTTCTTATTTCAAACAAAACCAACCAATCAAGTCTCTTAACTTTTATTAAGCAATTAATTTGAAACTTGCCCACCGAGACATTGCGTTATTTATTTCCATTATTAATAAACAAAATGGCGTCGTAAACAAATATTTTATGCCTAACGACCATTAACGAATTCTAGTAGAATTTATTTGGAATACAAGACAGTTTTACAATCCTTATGCCCTTGTAATAAAGACTAAGAAATGTAATACATCTTTTACAGTTTGAGGAAAACATTAGCACGTTTTTTTTAAATAATTTATTAATTGGAAAATATTCAAAAAGATTTTATAGCGACGATAAAATTATGTTTCGTTTAACATTATTAAAGTTATAAGTTTAAGACATTAATAGCTGTCGCCCGCGACTCCTTCCGCGTGTTTGTCTAAAAAATAAAAATTTAGGTGTGGTCTACCCTTAACATTTAGGGGGATGAAAAATAGATGTTGGCCGATTCTCAGACCTACTCAATATGCTCACAAAATTTCATGTGAATCGGTCAAGCCGTTTCGGAGGAGAAAGGGAACGAAAATTGTGACACGAGAATTTTATATACAAGATTAGTTAGAATCCTTTGGCGTAAACGGCACGCTTTCGTTGCAAAGTCAATTGTCAGAATGATTAGTGAGGGGACATAAACGTTTATAATATTAATAAGAAATAAAAATAACTTTTGTTGTAGACCACTACGGTAGACCACTATAATTCTCTTTTTGGCATCACCAAAACAATAGATAAATCTACCTTTGTAAAGATTATTCCAAAATAAAATGAACCACTAAACGATTTTCAAACTAAGAACAATAAAGACTGGTATCGGCTGTAAATACTTCAATTGCTTTGAAAAGAAATAAAAACTTTTCAAACAGGGACACGGACTGTTCCCGACTTTAACAAACTTATACAATCCAATACACGGTTAAATGAACTTTAAAATAACAATGATAGAATAATCATTACAATTCCTCTATAAGATTTTTTATAAGAGAAGGGGGAAACGAGCGGCAGGAACTGGTGTATCAAGGACACACAGGGACATCAGCACTAGAGGAACTGCAGATGCGTTGCCGGCCTTTAAGCAAATGATATACTCGCTTCTTGAAAGACCCTAGGTCGTATTAAATACCGCCGAGAACAGACCATTCCACAACGCGGCTGTGCATGGCAAGAAATTTCGCGAGAATAGCACCGTTGTGGAATGCAATCCATCCAGTAGGGATAGTACCTGGCAGTCTATAAACCTTAAGTGTTTGGCTTACTTTTTACAGCAGACCGCCTGCCTGTTGCCAACCCTAATTGTAAAACTACGTCTATAAAGTATTTACATTCAATCCACAAGGATTATACTCAGGTTAATATTTTTGTTATGAATTATACCGTAGTTAGTACCGTTAAAAAATCATCAGCTCACTATACGTCCCCACCGAGGGGCTCGGAGCCTACCCTAAGTTAAGCGTGATTAGGCCATAGTCAAACGCTGGCTAAATGCGGGCTGGTAGACTTCATACATATCTTTGAATATCTTCTCAGATATGTGCAGCATCACGATGTTTTTTCATCGTAAGAATGTCGGATAATATACATATGTAAAGCTCTCGTTAAAAAGTATTTTCAAACAATATGAAGTCAATAGGTAAGTTATCTTGCAGAGAATGAGGCCGTTGGAAAACATTTTTCAATTACAACTTCATTAATTTGCAGCGAACACAACTTTGCTATAAAAAAAACCGCTCGCAATAAGCACTTGTTGAATTCAAACAATTCTTTGTAAGCTTCGCGTAATTTCAACTTTAATTGTTAACAAAAGACTTCGGAAATAATTTCTATCGAATCGAAACGAACACGAATACAGTTTGGGGAAAAGTTGAGTGACCTTTGTTATGGGACTGTATATTTTCCTTGTGGGCTATACACTTTTTTGGATGGAGTAAAAACACGTTCATTCGTTTGTGAAATCTCTTTAAATATATTCAAACTTTCGTGAGTCATCATACTAAACTGATATAAAAACGGCTAAACTTTAATAATAGAAGCGTTGCTGGAGTTTCTTCCGCCACTTCTTCTCCCAGCGATAACGCTTTCCGAAGTGGTAGTAATGTTAGATGTATTAATAGCAATCAGATAATAGCAACCGATCAAGCCGAGGTTCGGCCCTCTCGGGCACCCTTGAATCGGAATGCTAAACGCGTAATGAGTGACAGCCCAAGCCGAGGTCCCCTCTCGGGGGCCCTTGAGACC